CAACGAGGAGGAGGAGCATGGGGGTTTCACATGTGGAGGACAACGAGGAGGAGGAGGACAGTGAATTCAGTGAAGAGTCATGCTCCGAACTGTCAAATGGTTGGGAGGGTTAAATGTAGGTAAACGAAGATGTTTAACAATCTGTTAAAATGCACCAGAATGTGGTGAGCCTTTGATGTTGAATAACTGTCACTTCCTCCAGGAAATAGACGACAACGTAGTTGTTCTGATGGATTTATTCATCTGAACGGCACCTAAGTCACTCTTCATGGTCATCAAACCCATCAAACATACCGCGCTGGCTGCACACAACCTAAGACGGAATGAGTCGGCTGGAACAAAGAAAATCTTCGCAAGGAATTGGACACGCAACCTCTTCAACATTTAGGCAGAGCATCAAACTTTATCTGCTGCACATGCTGTACAACTTCAAACGTCCCCAGTGCAACATAGCACCGAACAATGGTTCCTACACAGTGTAACTTACAAAACAAATCCATATTCATAAAAATAAATCATGTAAACCATTTATGTAAACAAAACATGTCAAATAATGACATAAATAATATTTTTAGCTGTTAAATTAATGTTGTGTTATAGCATGTAGCGTTAACGTTCGGTTCACACCTGAAATTGTTGGCGTCATCTTAGATTAAAAGTTGTGTGGATATTTTGGGCGCTAGCTGCTCCGTTCGTCACAAACGATGCAGTTGTTAAACTCCTTCATGTCATGTTGCTCAGTTGTTAAACTCCTTCATGTCATGTTGCTCAGTTGTTAAACTCCTTCATGCCATGTTGCTCAGTTGTTAAACTCCTTCATGTCATGTTGCTCAGTTGTTAAACTCCTTCATGTCATGTTGCTCAGTTGTTAAGCTCCTTCATGTCATGTTGCTCAGTTGTTAAACTCCTTCATGTCATGTTGCTCAGTTGTTAAACTCCTTCATGCCATGTTGCTCAGTTGTTAAACTCCTTCATGTCATGTTGCTGCTGTGTATCAGGATGAACGGTTCTTCATGAATGACGTCACTGATGTGGGAGGAACTGAACAGTTTAAAAGCAGCAGAGAAACTTTGATCTTCGGTTCTCATGAACTCACCGTTCTTCACAACCCAAACTGTCGTTTTCACTCGAAGGTGCTGACCTGTGCTCGAAAGCCATGTTTCTAAAAATGTATTTCCTGTTCACTTGCGTTGCTGTTTGGGTCGATACTGAACTGTGATCAGTTTAAAGTGGCTGCATGCCTCTGGAAAACTAACATGAATATTTGGTGCACTTCTTATTAACCCTCGTGTTGTCTTCACCCACTGCCATGTTTATTATCTGTAGAATAAATACCTGAAACTGTTTTTTTCCAACTTGACATTGTATGACTTTTCCTAAAGGGACCCCATCATTACAAAAAGTGATTCTTTGTTTTTGTTCATGTTTCCATGTGGGTTGTACACCACTGGCTACAAACATTGACCTGTGAGTTAAAAAAGCATTTAAAGGATAACTTTGCTGCACAACAGATCATGAATAATTTTTCCACTTTCATTCTTAGTGATTACTTTGAGACGAGGATGTTCAAGTACCTCATGTTTGTGATCATTTTCTTGTTCTTTGTTCTGATCGTTGGCTGCAACGTTCTGCTGATCGTGGTCATCTGTGTGAGCAGGAGTCTGCATGAACCCATGTACATGTTTCTGTGCAGCCTGTTTGTGAATGAGCTGTACGGAAGCTCAGGCTTGTTTCCGTTCCTGCTGGTCCAGGTTCTGTCAGACGTTCACGTCATTTCTGCTCCGCTCTGTTTCCTGCAGGTCTACCTCATCCATTCGTATGTTTCTGTAGAATTTTACAACTTAGCTGTGATGTCTTATGACCGATATCTGTCCATTTGTCATCCTCTCCAATACAAGACGCTCATGACGATCAAGAAGGTCGCAGTTCTCACTGCAGCGATGTGGTGCTGTGCACATTTTGGAATCGTCACTATAATATCACTGAGTTTATCTCTACATCTGTGTGGAAACATTATTGACAAGGTTTACTGTAACAATTACTCTATTATTAAACTGGCCTGCTCTGATACAACTGTCATTAATATGCTTCTGCTTGTTTCTACTTATTTAGGCATATTTGCTATAGTCAGTTTAATTTTCTACACGTACGTCAGGATTCTTAAAGTCTGCTTCTCCGGCTCTAAGCAGACCCGAAAGAAAGCGCTCAGCACGTGCACGCCTCACCTCGCCTCTCTGCTCAACTTCACTTTTGGAATGTGTTTCGACGTCTTGCAGAGCAGGTTTAACACGAACAGTGTTCCACATATTGTAAAAATACTTTTATCCTTGTATTTTCTGACATGTCAGCCTCTTTTTAACCCTTTGATGTACGGCCTGAAGTTGTCCAAAATACGCAGCGTATGGAAAACGATATTTTCAGTCAAATGGAGATAATCAGTGTAATTTAATAATAATATAATCAATCTGTTCCTGTTCATTGATGGTCAGTCCTACAAGGTTTGTTCAAAGTAAATATGTATTTTATTTATATTTTGTTTTACAAAAAAAGGTTTTTAAACTTCAGAAGGTCTTTAAACTTTGGCAATGTGTTCCTCAGGGAAACACACTGACCTAGGCCTGGCATGATATCACATTTTGCTGGGCGATTATTGTCTCAGAAATTATTGCGATAAACGATAATATTGTTTGAAATTTGACAATAATTAGTAATTGTTGTAAAATTTAAGAAGAAATGTTGGTTAATTTATTTTGAATGTAGTACCTTTTTGACCACCAGAGGGAAGTATGACTGAACCGAAGGATGGATATTGAGGGAGCGAGCAGTGCGTCTCTTTAAGAAAAATGGGAGGGAGGCCCCTTAACATGACACGGGCTGTCTCTGTTTCCTTTTTTGGTTCTCAAAATAGCAGACACTCGATGGTTTGAGCTCTTTAGCATTTTTCACACAAAGCTTTTAATAAAAAATCAGTAAACAAGTTCTCAGCTTCTTTTTTTCAGAGAAAAACAACTTTTTAAACGAAGGCACGGGTTTCAACCGTGAATTTTGGAGCTTCAACAAGACGGAGGTTTTTCCCCGAGGTCGGCCTGTTAGCTTAGCTCGTAGCTTAGCTTCTCAGCTTAGCTGCTTTTAACAAAAAAAAAAAAAACTGGATTTAGGACGGTTAAAACAG